AGCAGATAATTCATGGGTGATGTCTATTTACGAGTTTAAAAAAAAAAAGTGAGGCAGCATGTTATATGAAAGACTCAAAGACTCTTGGTATTAGGAGCACACAATTTAGTGAAAGTATTAATTCATTCATTAAAAGTTGTACAAATCCTAAATGGAATATCAATCAATTCTTTGAAGCCTTTGAACAGGCTGTTGATTTTAACTCACGTCAAAAATTACCGAGGTTAATTTTGAAGAATTCAACTATGCTTCAACAACTTTCTCAAGTTTACACTCCTCCACTTTTTGACTTGTTCCAGCAAGAGCATGATTTGCGTGATGCTACTTGCATAAAAGAGAGACAAGAAAGAAAGATAAAAGAAGATGATGATAATGCTATTATATTTGATTATGTCATCACAGGGATTGATAAAAAGGGAGAGTGGACATTGACATTTGAACCACCAAGAGAAGAGAAGGAGGCTACTATTACTTGTAGTTGTAAGAAGTTTGAACAATGGGAAATATTATGTTGTCATGCACTGAGGATATTATACGACTATGATATCAAGCTACTTCCACATAAGTATATTTCAAAGAGGTAGACAAGAGAAGCAAGGTGTGGTGTGGTGTGGTGTATGATAACAAGGGAAAGAAAATTGAGGTTGATCTTAAATTAGAATGCTCAAATCAATATAAGCAATTGTGTCCAATGATGATAAAATTAGCAAGTGATGCATCTGAGTGTCCAGAAACATTCTTTATGGTTCATCAAGCAGTGCTAGAACTTAGTAATAAAGTGTCTGCACTTCTTATTAGACACTCATCAAATGGTGTTTATCAATGAAGGTGATGTTGATAATAATGATGTTGAAGTCAGAAGACAGCATTTGAATGCAATAGTTTAATATATTTTTTAAAAAAGATGTTAAATGCTGCATTTTATGTAAATGGAGGCTCAATAGAGAGGCTTGTCAATAGAGAGATCTCGCGCCGCTCTCCGATGCGTTATATTCTCTAAATATAAGAGCTAAATAATTCATGTACCAATATTAACATAATTAATGAGCTAATTATTTGTCAAAAATATATGTTTGTTTATTTAAAACACTTCTCTTTACATATGCACAATTAATTAATTAATAGGGATAACTTAAGAAAAAAATTTATAAATTTAAAATACAGAATGTGTAGAGTTTTTATATTTAAAGTTTAAAAAAAACACTGTAACTCCCCTATATTAAAAAAAAAAACGTTACATGCTTTCAATCATAACGTGATTATAAGTAATTATAATACAATTATCAATTATGGCATTAAATTTTAACTTAAAGATAATGAATAGATCATATTTAATTTCCACCTAATTATATTTTATTGCTTTTTCCCACTCTGGTTTCAAATCTGGGCCAGGCGTAATCGCATCGATCCCAATATGATCACACTAGATATGATCGTACAAGTGATCTGAACTTTTAAGGGCAAAAGTAGATATTTGAGAACAGAGATGAATGATGAAGCATGCCGCATGCAAGGAAGGAAATGATGTTTGATTATAATTTATAGCCATATTTATTTAATTACATTATAATTCCTCATCCGCACAAAGTTTGGAATGGATATATGGCCACATGTGTTTTTAAGGCTCAAGATTCTCTTGCTTTCACCATTTATTATAATTTTAAACGCTAAATCAATACATTTTTTTTTTTAAAGAACAATGAGGCTCATTACTCAGAAAATAATACAAGACTTGCATGAATTAATTCTTTTTTTTTTTTAAGATACCACCTAGTATTGTAGTTCTGGTAGAAGTGATATATATATATATACATATTTGTTAAAAAAAAAATCAATACATATTTATAGGAGTGCTTATAGAGCCCGGTTACTTCATATGCCTACTCAAGCCCACAAAAAAAAAGCCCCGTCCACTCTAAAAAAAATGGCCCAAAAAATGTTGGGTATGTTTAGGCCAGGCAAATTGTCAGGTAGGACAGGCATCAGGTACAATATGCAGCCCTACCCGTAAAAACATATATAATTTTATTTATATGTATTTTTTATTTGCACCATATTTACCTTTTGAATCAAATGTACTATTGTATCATTGTTTAGTGTTCACTATATTGATTTATTTTCAAATAATTCTGAGAATTAGAGGTCTTATCATTTATTGGGATATGTATAGCTATTCTCTTTTTTAATGCAAACATTATGACCATTAGCAATTTGTATATTGGTCATTTATTTTGAGCATGACTTTGATGTAATGCCTATGGAAGGATAATTGAATTATCTTGAAATCTGTTTTGCTTCTTGTTTTTTCTAAAATTGCTGTCTCTGTTTGGTTAAAATTAAAAGATGATCAGGATACTTTAAAAATTTATTAAACCAAAACAAATAGATTTTTTTAAAATATAAATGATTCCATCCTCTTATGAGCACCTGGGAGTTATGGAAAAAATGACATTCATATTTCATGAAGAAATTTTAGAGAAACTAGAAAAGCAATTAAATTTAATAAAATATACTAACAACATTTTTCTTATCATAGTCTACTCCTTTTAGCTACTACAAAATGTGATTTAATAGTAAATTAATTAGAAATAACTAAATCAAAGCCAATTTGTCATTTTAATATAAAGTTACCTTAGATTACTTAGAGGGATATAGATAATTAGTTAATAGTTAATTAATATATTATATTGAATTATTGGGCATGGAAGCTTGCCCTGCCCAACCCGCACTTATCCAGCCCAAACTTACTAGAGCTTTTCATGGGTAAGGTTGGGCAATGGACTGTATTTTGCAACCTGTTCATTCTTTAGACTGGGCATCAGGCAGAGGTCATGCTTTATCCAGCCCTGCCCATGTGCAGTCCTATACATTTACATCAACTCGAATTAGTCCTATGTGTATATGTGTGTATTGTTATCAAACTTGTGAGTTGATTCTTTGAATTTAACGTTTTTATGTTTTCAACTTACAAAATTGTGTTGACTCACTCTTAAACTTATGTTAGATGCAAACTTAGTTGAACTTACGAGTTTATACTGATTGGGTTATTGGTTTTTCGTTTTTAACTTACAGAATCATGTCAACTCATTTTTAAGTATCAATTTTCGCACTTTTATATCACTTCAACTCTATAGCCTCTTGCTCTGATCTATGAATGGTGGTGCCGTCTTCTTATCCAACTGACACCACAGCCTCAGACAACAATAATTGGGTTGTTGAGCATTTAATCTTAGTAATTCACCAGAGTTAGTCCACTAAATACAATCAATTGCAAAAATAGATTATTATTAATTTATACATTTAGCAAACGATTCTTTAAAATACAACATAATTCTTTTCAATGTCAATAAGATATCTTCAATTGGCCATTACATCTGATAAAATTTTATAAATAATTATATATTACAATTTTAAAAAAAGTTATCAAAATAATAAGTTATGTCATTTTCCTTGGCAACAAAATGCATTATGCATCATCCCTTTTAACAAACCCACAAAAAGGTCAGGCTGCCGCCTAAGAAAAGCATGCATTATTAACTAATTTACTTATATCCAATCCGAATCAAAATGTTGACAAATGATTGTATGAAAAAAGAAAGAGAGGATCTTTTTGTGGAATTTTAACAAACACATCCTTTTCATTTAAGCTTTGGTGGGAAACACCAAAGCAGCACACTGTGTGGTAAGTTGGAGGACCACTTCACCACTGAGTTATGATAAATTCAATAATTATGATGTCACTTTGAAATGCTACTCTTTTCACACACAAACTTCTTGTGCCATTCACAGTCCTTTAACCCCGTTCTCAGAAAATGGCTCTCCACTATCAGATGACGTCGACCTCAACAAATCCAATTTAGTTTTTGATTCCACTTCAATATAATCAGGAAGATGATCACCATCATCCATTTTAATCCAAGCTAAATTGTCTTCCATTATTTATATTTTCTTCAAACTTATTTACTTAACTTATAAAGTGGTATATAACTTAATGTTTCTATCTCTCTTCTACAGGAACTTGTCACAAATAATTAAAAGGCAATGAGTATGACATGATGATATCTGTTTTCTCCCCCTCTCTAAAGGACAGATATGATTTTTTCAACTAAATTAGACACAGTCCAAACTAATCGGGACTTTGGGAAAAGGCTCCCCTTGTGTCTTTCATTGAATATTTCATGGGGAAGTGGACACTAAAGTAGTATCTATATAAAAATTTATTGTCTTGCAATGTGAATTGGTCATAGCAGAGAGAGCTAGAGAGCAGAGATGATATATTATACAGAGCAGAGTTACAAAGTGGCATGATCAAAGGTCCAACATAATCAGCTAATACGGCTAGAAGAGAGAAACCACTTGTTGTGGGGGCCACACAGGTTGCTCAAAAGAATATAACAAACAAAAAATTGGTGAGCCATTATGCATCTCCATGATTTGCTTTATGCTTCAGAGACAGAACAGTGGTGTGACTAAAAATCCTCATCAAGTTTGAAGACAAAATTTTTCCCAGCATCTTGGAGGCTTGACATTACTGATGCCTTCTGATAATCACCCACTCTTCTCTCAAAGAAGTTAGCCTTTCCTCTGCTCAATCAGGGGGGAAAAATCAAACTAAGATCAATATCCCAAATTACAAATTTATTTCCAAAGCCGCAATAAAATATATATAATACAGGGCCAGAACCTAGCAGTAGCAGTTCAAGGAAAAAATGCAATATACTCACTGCAAGGAAATAAACTCCATCCAGTCAAATGGATTTTCTACATTGTACTTCTTCTCATACCCCAAAGAAACCTGTGATGACAAAAGAAAGTGAAACGAATTTTTTGTTTGGGAAGGCAGGGTGAGGAAGCCAAAAAGAAAAAAGAAAAAAAAGAAAACTTTTATGGTCATACCAAAAGCCTATCAGCAACAAATTTTATGTACTGGCTCATGAGTGTGGAGTTCATGCCAATCAAGGCACAAGGGAGGGCATCACAGACAAAAAGACTTTCAATCTCAACAGCCTCATGCACAATGCTATGAACCCGTTCAGAATCAAGTTTCCTCTGCAACAAACTGCAGGAAACGCAACGCATTAACTAATCATTATAAACTAAATATTCTTCCAGTCCTTAATGTAGACCTCATTAACTAATTTGAGTAGATTAAGAAAGTAAGTTAAATTAGTTAATATGATATTTTTTTCCTAAAACACCCCAAGCATATTTCTTAATTCCCTCCCTCCTTCCCTCTCCTACTTCATTATTAGTGGGAAAATATCAATAGGGTTAATTTGGGCAAAAATGGATACATGTAAAATATCTCTTACATTAGGGATCGGAGGAGTATCTCTATATTGCTACATCATTAGTGGAAACCAAAATCAAATCAAGTACACAAATTATTATATATTTACAGTACCTGTAAAGAAGGCAAGCAAAATCACAGTGAAGGCCCTCATCTCTAGAGATTAGTTCATTTGAGAAAGTCAGACCTGGCATCAATCCTCTCTTTTTAAGCCAAAATATGGCACAGAAACTGACAGCAAAATCAAATGAATTAATATTATATATAATGCGGCACAATATTCCGTTATAAAGCAAGGACTCCTACAAATCATTTTTTCCCTCTGATAACTACCTTCCTGAGAAAAAGATTCCTTCAACACAGGCAAAAGCAACAAGTCTTTCTGCAAATGAAGTAGAGCTGCAATTCATGAAATGAATGGTAAGCAATTTCTATGTTATCTATAGAAATATGCAGCACAATAAGAAGATGCACTATCACAAAGACCAGATAACTGCAAAAAAACTTAAAAGAAATAATAAATTTAGACAATAATGATGCAAAAGCTGGAGCAAAAAGAGGTTTTAGAAATTGAAGGTTTCATCACAGACCCTACATTGAAGAAACCAAGTTATATACCCCCCCGACATGTCTCTTGAAGGATCCGTTGGAGATTATAACCCCATAAGATAATAGAACATGATACGCAGCAGGCTTGAACCATTTACTCCTTGATAATCACAAGAATTACTTTATAGTAATGGAGAAGTTAAACAGAAAATAAACTGCCAACAAGCATTTAAGAGATAGGGGCCTTCATATACAATAATAAAGATGAACTGTTCACATGGATACTGAGTGCAAAGAAGTCGGCATGGCAGCTGAAGATCCTAATGCATCAATTAATGAAGGTGGCAAAGGGCAGGAACCCATGAATATCAGGCGTAAATTCTATAAATGCATGTGTGCGCTTCAGACTTGTTTGCAGATATGTAAAAATCCAACATTGCAAATCCTAATACATGCATTGTGTGCTCCCTCATGGCTACACTATTGGACTAATCACTTACCTATGAATCCAATTTAATGCCCACTCAGCCTTCCTTGCTACACAAGGCAGGTTTTCAATTGCATTAAATAACCTATGCTTCTCTCTTGAATCCTTGATATAGGTTTCCAGCAGCAGGCTGTACATCTCTGGCAAAATATAAACCTTGATCAGGCAGCAAGCAGAAGTTATACTAAGGAAGGAGAGAAGGCATCAATCACAATGCTATACCAGAATGAATATTCTCCATTGCCATTTGAAAGCCATAGAATGCCCGAGCCTGCCATTAATAACACTGAAGTGTAAATGATAGAGTATAATTAAACATATTAGGTGCCAACCTCTGCTTTATGTGTACGCAAGGATGTCTGTGAGTTCGTCAACAATGTTCATGACAAGTGAGCGACTTTAAAATTCAGTGATTCCACGTGAAACATTGACAGGTCCCATAAACGTACTGATAACAACCGAAAAGGAAGATTTTTTTTCCCCAAAACAAAAAAGAAACTCAAAGCATAGGAAAATTCAACCACTGACACAGCCAAACAAGTATCTGAAGTGAGCCAATCAAAAAGTAAACAGGATAAAGCACTACAAGATATTAAGAAACAGAAAAATAATCAAACTACTCAGCCAATTAGCAGTAGCAAATACCACCGAACAGTTAGAATGCAATATATACCTCAGGGATTTGAACATCCTTCAGAAACCTTGCGGCTAAATTTTCTAGTACTATGCCATCAGATGCAGCAAAAAAGGCTAGGACGTGGGTTATGAAGTGCTTCTCAGAGTCAGTCAAGGTTTCCCAATGTTGAACATCATAGGAGAGATCAACCTCCTCAGCTGTAAATCCATTCACAAATTGCCAGAAGAAGCAAGTAATCAAGATAAAAATTAACCATGCTTAGTCAAATTTGACATAAGGAATCAATGACTCAAGTACAGCCTCACACAAATGTTGGCTTCACAATAAAGGGAATATTTTTGTCAAATTGGTCACTAGAATTTAGTTCAAGAGTTCCAAGTGGTGCTGCCACCCAAAAAAGAACCTTATCAAGAAACCCAATCGATCTTATCCACACCTCCAACACCTCTAGCCTCAGCCTAAATTTGATGAAAATATGATATCAGACGATCTTTATTTTAGATTAGATATTTTCAGCTAAGCCTGGTTACTTATTAACAGATCTCTAACTTCAATTAATCAAACAGGAACTCATGTTTTACATACATAAATACATACGTATTATATTTCTCTTTCACATTCCCACAACTAACTGGTAGTAGTTGTTCCTCAAATCGACATGGCGCAAATTATGTCTGCCAAGCCAAGGCAAAGGCCACTTAGATAATATTTGACATGACGTAACAATATAGCAGAACCTAGAAGGTTAAGGTTTGGTTGGAGACAAGGCCAAAAAAGGCTGCGTTGGAGACACAGAGACATATCAGGGGTAACGTGTTTAACCACAACCTACAGAGACAGTAAAAGATAGTATCTATTTTTCTCACCGCATCTCACGTATCCAAGCATTGCCAAATATTAGGCGCCAAATGGCTGTACAAGGACGTTAATTCAACAATGCCGAGACAAAGAGTCAGTCCGTTGCAGATGATATAACTAGAATAAATAATAGTCTCCTTTATGGATATGATACTACGCACGTGAGAAATTAAATATATAATAGCGAAAACACAGAACTGGAACAAAAATTTGAGTAAAAACAGGGACTGACTTGCTCCAATTCAAAGTTCGAACAATTTTAAGTAAGAAAAGCATTGCGGGTATTGTGCAAATTCCAGGCACTCTTTGCCCGAAGGAAAATTAAACTATCAAAATTGCCTCAAATTTCAAATAATGTCAGTAATTACGTTATATTCGTTACCCCAATTGTTAATTAATGAACAGAGGGATGAAAGCATTACGCTTGAACCGTCAACACACAAGTACCATGACAGACGTGGGATAAAACAGGATCAAAGATTAAGTCTTTGTTATCCAACCAAGAAAAGCAACACAAGAGAATGTAATACCCGTCCAAAAACTGGCTTCAGCCTTCTTATACATTTCCCAGAGTTGCTTATACCGGATGGGGAACATACAAAACCTCTGGGTTTGCTCCATTAGTATGGGTTCTTCTTCTGCAAGTTCTTTTCCATGCTTAGCTTTGTCTGCTGCATTTTCCAGAGACCCCATTATGTTTGCGAGTCCAATTTCGTAAGAGTGTGACCCCGAAGTTGAAGCCTTTGATAGTGAATGTGTAGGAAATAGAATAGATAGATAAGAGTGAATAAGCAAAACCCTACATAAACCCTCTGCCCCCGATAGAAAGAAACACGAGGGTCGTAACTGCCAACAAAGAAATCACGGAAATCATTAGCCACTATCGGCCTTTTGTATGTTAGCGACCATGTTCATTGGGATTTGGGATTCTCTTTTCGGCTTTTTGGCTTTTGGGTTCTAGAATAGAAGATTCACCACACAATTGAGTTTATGTCGCGACCGGTTTTGGGGCATCCTTGAAATCGCACGGAATCAACCATACTTTTCAAACCATGACGTGTGTGCATAATTGTTAAATAAAATGATAAAAAGACACTCCTCTTAACATTTCATAATTATGCATCCCAAATAATCACCTGTTCCTATTTATAAAATGAGAAGAGGAGATTTTTTTTAACATCTCTATTAATCATAAAATCTGTTTCTATTACTCATTTTCATAATTTCTTTATCTTGACTTATACAAATCTTGTTATTAGGAAGATTAAATCTTAGAAAAAATAATTAAAAAAAGTTGAAAATTACTAAATCTTAAATCAAATTTGATAATACTTGTAATATCAAATTTGTAAATGACAAAAAAATTTTTTGTTAACATTCTTTATTTAGCATTTAGTAATGTCTATCTTCATTTTTTTATCATTTTCCCTAAATCTTATACATTAAAATGGTATTAGGGTCATGATTTCGTATGGGATAAAAAACATATTATTTAAAGCCAATCTCATTGTGGTCTAGCTTTACCAGTAGGAGAGATTTCTGTTGGGACAGAAAAAGGTCTTGCTGTAACCTTTGTTTCTCTATTGGTTCTTTTTTCAAGAGGAGGAAAATCCTGCTCACAAGGATCCATTATTGCTATACACGGGATGGATTGTTGAATGATAGGAATCACTGGATCTGGTCTCTATTTAGAAACTTCATGACCTATTTCTTTAAGCAAATCATATAGAGATAATCTATCAGAAGAAATAATAGGAACAGGAACCTTCTAATTTCTAACATTTTGATTCGGGCCATGATCACCATCATCACGGTGATGATGGTAATGTTTGTGAGAACAAAGTGATGTAGGGGGTGTTTGGAACATCCCATAATCACTTTTCAGAAACATTTTTCCGCAAATCGAGACAAACTTCTCTACACATTTATCTCGTATATCATAAAAGCACTTCTAAAACCATGGTTTTGTTTTGACCCAAAACACTCCTGTATTCTTCTCCTTTTTCTTCTTTGTAGCATACCTGATAGGATAAGACCATCCATCTCCATCTTCATCGTCTGATGCTTCCTACCAGTAAGGTGTATCACATTCATATCTGGATCGCATTCTTCTGGTGCATGATCCCAAATGAAATGACCATTTATGTGAGACACATAACATGGCTTGGCATTTTGATCTACCCAAGCAATTGGAGGATCTCGCTTGGATGAAATATCGGCCAGGGTGATAGACAAAATATGTCCAAAAGGTACAGAAGAACCTTCTTGGCCTGGTTTTGTGAAGACATTTTTGACTGTGCCATCTAGATGCTTTTTTATCTCAGGAGGAGTAGAAGTATGAACATCTCTTTGAACACCATGAAAGTGTTTTTCATAGTCGGTGATCCACTCAAGAGGCATCAATTGAGCAAGTTTCTCTTTTGGGATCTGTCGGGGAATCTAGATGATGGAGGTATCATCAACTCTATCAGAAACCACATAAAGAGCATCTTTAGTGGAACTTGAAAAATGGAGATCTGGAGTCTGTAGATAACTTGATGATGAAGAGTTGCCGAGATAGCTTTGGGATCTTGTTCTGCCCCAACTATCTGGACTTGGATTTTTAGTCTGTCCATCAAAGTTGGATCTGAAAGTTTGATGTTGAAATCTGGAGCCATGGTAAGGATGACACTACCGTTGCTAAGAGTGGTCAAGACAGCACCAATTAGAACATTACTATAGGAAGTATAGGTAGTATCAACTAGAGCAACTTTCGCAGTAGCTAGAATTCTCTTTCTCCCATGGAGTGTAAGAATAAGGCATACGGCACCTATATGGAGATGGATATAAACTTGAACTATCCATTCATTGATTATAGGTTGAGGTATATCAATAGTAACATATTGTTCAGAAGAAGAGGCAGGAAGACCACAGTTTTCTAAACTGGTAGATTAGACAATTTCTTTTACATGGGGTCTTCGGTGGAGATCAGATTTCTAACATTTCTGGTGACACGATTAGTGCGATGGTAAATGCTAAAAGGGCTGAGAAGAGGTAGATCTATTTCCTGGACTCTAGTATTTTCAGGAAGATGATCGATCTCAACAAGATTTTCTATTTTTCTAGAAAGAGTTCTATGAAAAGAGGAGGGAAGTCTTTGTGGGGTAAAAGGGGTAGAGAGTCGAACGAGTTCAAGATTATTTGAAGTTTCACTCATGATGTAGTGATATCTTCTTACTCACCTTCACAAATAACATATCCAACATCACCTCCTTCTTATCCCAGAGAATCTGATTACAGTAAGGTTTTCAAAATGTCTTATCCCATTTTGAGACAGTTGAGAAAACCTCAACCCACTCTTCCACCTATACAACCGAATCCTCTTCCTAGACCTCTAATAAGACCACCTCACTTCCCTTAATCTGAAAGACCTTTTCAACCATCATCATCATACATTAAACCATTGAACCAACACCATCCTCTCAAGGAGTTATAATAAGAACTCTACCATCATCACCACCAAAACAAACTTCTCTTCCCGATAGAGAAAAAAGAAAAGAAGTTGTTGATCCAAACAAAACCATAGCCACTCTCCAATCCCTGAATAAAGATCAATCATCATCAAATGGAAGCTCTGAAATTGAGTCTGATCCTTCTATTGAATACAGTTCTAACTTTGATTCTCAAACATGTCGTGCTAATATTTCTAAGGTAGCAATGGTCCAACCAAATGCTACAGTTGAAGATCCTCTTGATGAAGAGCCATTTGTTTCCTCATACATCTGAGCCTAGAAGAACATATTACAAACTTATTACAGGTCCATGGTTCACTGTTGATGACTTTCCTCCGAAAAAATGGAGAGACAGACTTCATGAGTTCGGTGCATGGATTGATTTGCAACTTACCAGGCATGATACAAATCTTGAGGAAGTTCTTACAGAATTTCTCTGGAGACTGACTGGAACAGTAAGAGAATGGTTTCAAAGCCTCAGTGATTACCAAAAGATAGCAGCAACCAGAGTTGATAATGCAGGAACTCTTCTGAGACTCATTCACAAGAAATTCGTTGGTGATTTCCAAATCATTGATAAAAGGCATCATTAAGAATATTTTGAGATGAAATGCTATTCTTTAGATAAAAGAGACTTGCAGAAACATTTTCAGAGAATGTTTGAAAAATACTACATGCTTGGAGGAGCTAATGATGTCAATCTCAGGCATACTTTGATTACCTCTCTTCTAGATGAACTACAGCCAGAGTTTCATAGAGTTATCAATGCACTCCATAGAAATATATCTGACATTTCTATAGGAAAAATATATCAGTTGGCAATAGCAACTGTGGATAAGCTCTGTGAACAACATAAATTCTTCAAAGGAATGTTGAAAGGACAGTCAAAATTGAAGCATGCTTGCAAAAAGCCCCATCTGAAGATAAAGTGCAAAGACAATAAGGATTGCTCATGTTCTACCAAGAGAAAATCTCATTATCGCCGATTCAGATATCCAAATGATTTTTATTCCAGAAGAAGATCTAGAAAGCCTTTCCTGAGATACTTCAAGAGGTGTAGGTCTTATTAAGAGAAATCTGACAGGTGCTATTTGTGCAAGAAAAAAGGATATTTTGCAAAAAATTGTCCTAGGAAGACAAAAAGGGATGTGAAGATGCTAGAATACTTGCAGACTGTTCTAATGATCAATGCAGATGAAGACATCGAATCTGTCATCGAAGAACAAGATGCTCAGCATGAAGAAACACAATATATTCTTCCTTTCTCTAAAGATGAAGAAACTGGCTCTGAATCTTTATCCCAAGAATATGATGATCCTCAAGGGTATTTATATTCTCTTGAACAATCCGTGTATCCATCTTTCCTTGGTTCTTTGACTTCTCAGCCAGAACACAACAAAGTCACACCCAGACCAAATGTCAAAATTCATATCTAGGAAGATATGAAAAACCAATAATTCCTGTTATCGGCTTGATAGATATTGGAGCTTGCAGAATCATCATGAATCCTGATATCCTTCCTTCTGAAGCATGGATCCCTTGTGATCAACACTTTGTCACTACTGATTCAAAAACATTCAAAATTGAATGGATTACTCAAAGAAAGATTGGTATTCAATTCTTTTTAGGATGTGTTCTATGGATGAAAGTTCTTGGTAGTGATCTCTCTGGAAAAGATATCCTTATTGGATTTGATGCTTATTATCATATTAGGAATCTTTAGGTACTACCTAAAGGAATTAGATATAAAAATTTCTTTAATGTATATACTAAAATTCCTAATCTTTTTGAAATCCAACAAACATATTATTTTCAAGCATATTATCTTCAGGTACCAGAATATGAAGGATCTCGTTTGGAATAAAAAGCATATTATTTAAAGCCAATCTCATCCGCCAGATTATTGGGATATTGATTATGAGTTTATTTAACTTGAATATTGGGAGAAATTTCACATCAGATAAATTTGGGCTAAAAATCATATATATATATATATATATATAAGTAAAAGAATTCTTAAATTTTGTGGCATAAGATTTTAGGTTAAGATATATAGTGCCAACTTCATTTATTTACATCTTCCTATTAGTGCATGGTTATTATTTTAGTTTTATTTCTTAAAATAATAACAAATAAAATGTTCTTATATAATATCAGAGTATAATACAATTAGATCATCAAACTAAACCTAAAAGCTTTAAATTTTGGAATATTATATTCTTAACAAAAATGTAAAAGATGCAAATAATTGTTGATAATTTCATTCTTTGTGTATTAAAACAACCTACCCTCAAATTTAGCTGTTTTTTTTTCCTGAAATTATTATATTCTTCTTTGAAGTAAGATTTGATTGAGGTATGGAGTGGTTAATGCTGCCTTTAAGTTGGGTGGTATAATTGAGAGCAATTTTATACTATTTTTTTAAAATTAAGGCAAAATGTCAGTGGAAAAAAATGTCCCATTTGCTTTTTATAATGGATGTTTATTGTTTTAACTTTATTTCTTTGACTAATCACATTCTTATGAAGTGTCAGAAACTCCTTTTTTTTTTTGGTAGAAAGTCTCAGAAATCTTTAATCTCAATTCTGAATTCTCAAGCATTTGACATGAAAAATGCCCCCCCCCCCCAACAAATACCAAAAAAACAAAAATCCCCAAACACTGAAGCGGAACGAAGGTGAAAAAAGAAGCGAACGCAATGGGAAGGGGCTTCCGTTTGTGTGGTCCTCCTTCCTCAATCATCAATAAGCAGGCCCCAGAAACGTCCGTTCATCGTAATTAAATACCCCCAAGTCCCTGCAATAGAGGAATTATCGAGCTTTGTTCTTCACCGTGCATTGTGTTTGTGATTACTGGAACCAGAAGAAGAAGCAAGAAATGTCAGGTCCAGAGTGTTGCTCAAACCCGCCAACGCTCAACCCCAGTGCTGGAGCTGGCCGTGTTGAGAAAGTTGGTGGCATAGATACTTATGTCACCGGCTCCGCCGACTCCAAGCTTGCCGTTCTTCTGATCTCCGATGTTTATGGTAATTTAATTTTACCACTTGTTTCACTTTGTCTTCTTTGAAGCATCTTTATTTTGTGATCAATGTTGTTATTTGTAGGCTCGGGGGACCTATTCGAGCTATACAGAAGATTTTGTTCAAAAGATCTAATAAATTCCAATTATCATGTTTATGCTTTGAGCTGTTGACGCCATTTATTTCTGTGATGTGTGATTTTACTTCTGGAAGTCTACTTACTACTCTGAATAAGTTTGATTCATTATAACTATAACCTAACAAAACAATTGTATAGAAACACATTTTTGAGGCTGAATGGGGCACAAGCTTGTTTCTTTTGGGTTCCAAAATGCCTTTTGGGCTGAATTTAACTGTTATCTGCATATCTCTGTTCAAATATATGTGCGTTATATGGTCTGGTGAAAAGTTAAAACCCGAAAATACGTATATTTTCCTATGCATGCACGATACCATCATTTTTACCCAGCTAAAGATTGCTAAAGTCAGTATCTTTTGGAGGCTGTGGTCTCTACATGGATATATAATAACATGTATTAGCCCTAGATGTTAATCAATATCATCTTTTAACTTCGCATGTTCAACTTGTCCTGCAGGTTATGAAGCACCAAATTTGAGGTACGACTAATTCTTTCTGCTTCTCTTGTTACTTATTTTGGCTGGTATAGTTATTTTCATAGGAAGTTATTTATTTTGGCCTCCTGTTTGCATTAAACTGTATTATAGTTGGATTTCATTAGTTGTTATGTTCAGAACCTGAAAATTCTTTGAAATTGGTGTCTGTTGTAACTAAAGTGATGAAAACAGTCAATGGTCTTTTTAGGTTATTCAATTTTTTATTTATAAACGTTTCGGTTTATTGGCTTCTGCTGGTAATAATAAAATCCCTGTGCATTTCTACCTATCCAAATTAATGGTACGATAGTTGAACCAACTTCCTCTTTATACCATTAGCTCAGCTTCTGCTTCATGTGGGGGACAGAATTTAATTTTGATGAAGAAATAATAAACTGACTATCCGTCTCTTATCGCCAAAATTAAATAGATGCACTAAGTATAATTTCAAGATCATGGTCTGTGAAAGCAATGCTGCATGATATCTGTGACACATTGATAGGAACTGGGGGCCTTTACTAGTTTATTGTTCAGTGAATTATTATGTTTTATGTGTTTTATGTTTTATTATGTGTCCTGTATTAACTGTTACAAGTGTCCAGCGTTGGTTACATTATTGTTAGTTTTATACAGATAGGATAAGGTAGTTATTTTCAGCTTATGTACCATACTATAAATATCATACATGTATTCTGCCGAAAGGGGAGATGAATGAAAAGCATTATTCAGTTTGCCTTAAACTACCTCTTCTCCTAGAATTTCAGATTCTGGTTCTATGCTCTCTCTCCCCCCCCTCCCTTATCTTTCTCTTTCTCTTCTCTTCTCTTCCCCTTTTTTTCTGTCCTAACTCTCAAGATCTAACACACATGTAGGTATAAAACTAGGTTATCGATTTTCTTAGATGGTAAGTGGTGATATTATTATCTGGTTTGACTATTTGTCTGCTCTTTCTTTGATTTCTTTCTTTCTCACTACAATTTTTCAGACATGCTTAATAAGTATGTTCTCCCGTAAAGTAAGATGATTCGTTTTCTGTTGTGAAGGAAGCTTGCGGACAAGGTTGCTGCTGCGGGGTATTATGTAGTTGTTCCTGATTTCCTCCATGGCGATCCTTTTGCTCCTGAGAAAGCTGACAGACCAGTATCTGTTTGGATAAAAGATCATCCGCAGGTTAGATCCTATGTTAATTGTTATGATACTTGAACAAATTTTATTTTACAGTTTATTGTTTTATTTTTAAAAGAATAACCTTTTTTTAATTTCATCTGAATAAAATCTTGTGCACCCGTTCTAGGAAATTTTCTTAGGGTTTGGATTTTGGGATCAAGCATTATGAATTGGAGGAATAAATGTAGACTAATCATCCTTTATTTGTAAACTTCTCTGATGCTGTCATGTTGTATAATACATTACTCTCTGATGCTGTCATGTTGTATAATACATTATTCTCTGACGCTGTCATGTTGTTCTATTAGGACAAAGGTATTGAGGTCGCTAAACCTGTAATCGAAGCCTTAAAAGGTAAAGGTGTTTCAACAATTGGAGCTGCTGGTTTTTGCTGGGGTGGTGAGTGCCTCTCGTTCCGGTTTTTTTTTTTTTTTGGTGGCTTTTATGTTTCTCCTTTTGTGTACATAACGGTTTCAGATCTTTGTAGGTGTATGTATTGCATCCATTTAATCACAAATGAATTTATAATTGAATTAGTAGTTATACAATGATTTCGTTCATCTTCTTGAGTGATGCTGACGTTTTTTTTTTTTTTTCCTTTTTCCTTTCTCAGCCAAGGTTGTAACTGAGGTTGCAAGACACGGACTTATTAATGCTGCTGTGCTATTACACCCATCATTTGTCACTGTGGATGACATCAACAGTATGCTTTTTAAATGCTTCATTTTCTTGTTAAGTTACATATCCTGTTTTAGGGGGAAAAGTATAGTATTTTCAAAAGGAGAAAAATTATCAGAATTTTGTTGCAGCTTTTAGTTAAATGATCAGTTTAAGCATGTTGTTTAAAAGACTTTTCAATTTCATGGAGGTCTGTTCATATGATATATGCTCTGGGAGGGCAATTATTTCCCAAACAGGAGTTATTTACATTGGTTTTGTATCTAGCTCTTTTGGAATTTTTTATTAAACTTCTTTTGCCGTACTTGATCTATAATTGATCATGCAATGATTTGCATGATATTAGAATTTAGGAACTTAGTCCATTCCAATTCATCCTCATACTTTTGAGATATCAAATGGAAATTGCAAAGGATGTTCTCAAAGGAGTCATAGATATTTACATGGTGGGCAGTCAATAATTGAATTCTCTTACAGGCGTTGAAATTCCAATTGCTATACTGGGAGCTGAGACTGACAAAATTTCTCCTCCAGAACTTGTTAAACAGTTCGAACAAATCCTATCTGCTAAGCCTGGGGTAAGATTTAACCCCATCCCCGTTTCTTAGTGATGAAGTATCATTCTTTTAATTTTCTTATTAAGAGAATTTACGCAATTTAGTTATACCTTAATAAACCTGCTGAAATCATACAACATTTTTTTAGCTCGAAAAGTTGTGTTCTTTTCCCACCTTGGATGGGTGGGGACGAGTTTTATTTGTTGCATATATCCGTATCTCTGAGCACATTCCGTCTTTATCATCATATGCTATTCAGACCTTTCTGAGGTAATTGATAACATGATTGCATTTTAATCTTATCTTCTACACCTGAGCTATGGCTGTTCGTTCTAATTTATGTTCAATAACAGTAAATTTGTCCATAAATTTGTGTCGAAAACAAGCCCTACATTAGCATTGATACATTGTATGGCAGACTTTGATGCATAAAGGCATGCTGTTAATACTGTGATGACAATGGAATCCAGCATGTTTCATACCATGGCTTAGTCTGCACTTTCTGGAAATTCTCACTTTCATGGTAATCCGGACAAGAAGAACTTGAGCACCCTAATCACGCAATCAATTCGAATGTCTAATTTGACATCCTACTATTGGATTCAGTTTCCAGAAAACCTCAACTGATTGCTGTTTCCATCTCATTGAGTACCTACACATATGTAGGGAAATGCCAGCCTCCTATCCTTTGTCTGAAAGATCATTTTGTCCTCGTTATGTTTTGGCTGTTTTTATGTTTGTTACGATTATCCTTCTATCTTTCAGTTGAACATTCCTAGAGCAGTTTTTTGCACGATTATCCTTCTATCTTTCAGTTGAACATTCCTAGAGCAGTTTTTTGCATCATATTGTAAAACCAGTTTGGCTATCCATTTTCTTCTTTGTATGGCTATCTGTATTTAACATGTCGCTGATTAACATGTTTGTTTTGTGCAGGTTCCTAGTTTTGTGAAAATATTTCCTCAAGTTGCACACGGTTGGACTGTGAGGTACAACACTGAAGATGCTAAAGCAGTGTCGGCAGCAGAAGAGGCGCATCAGGACTTGTTAACCTGGTTTGCCAAGCACCTTAAGTGAGAAATCTTGTTCTAATGGCCTTGTATCATGATGGCATGAAAGCCATAGGAGATTGTAGATTCAATCCTGCTTGTTACCCCAAGTCAATTAGATTATCAGTATTCAATCTACAAGCAGGTAACTACATAGTTCAATTGTCCTTTGATGTTGCTGCTGGTTTGTTCAAGTGGCATTGTACACTGAGTCAAACTCAAAGCATAGCATGTTCATTGCAATGTATTAAAGACTGGAGATATAAATTTAAAAAATTTTATGTACATTGCATTGTAGGCTGATGCCATGTGTATTAATTGAAAACTACATCAACTGAAAAAAAATGCGCGATTTGCCTTAAATATGTAGGCTTGTGTGTTTATTTCTTTTTTGCCAACTTAAATATGTACTCCCTCCGTCCCTTATTATAAGATCTAATGTTTTGAATGGGTATGTCCCTTTTTATAATATCCTCTTTGAGTTTGTCTGAGCATTTAATGCATTATTACCTAATTTACCTCTAATTTGATACATTTAATACATTCTCTTTCTTCATTTATTTCACTATTACTATCTCACATTTACCCATTTATATATATAGGTATATCTAGAAAAAAAAAAATTGCATTTGCTACATATTGATTGCTTTTAATTAATTTTAACTGGTTTCTTAAATCACGTAATTTAGTTAAAAGGACCTTATAATAAAGGATGGAGGGAGTATTGTCGTTGTTTTTATTTTATTTATATAAATATCAATAAATGAAATGTTCTTGGGTAAAACAGGTAAGAGCTATTTAACTAATTTAATTAGATTAAGGAAGTTGGGTACGTTAGTTAATTATAAGAAATATGATATGTTTTGTCTAAAACACCATAATCATCTTTCTTAATATCCTCTTTCTCTCTTCTACTTGATTATGGTTGAGAGAGTATTCATAAGAGTACTTTAGAAAAAATTAATAAATATAGAAAACAGATCTTATATTTAAGACTAAAATTAACTTAATAATTAGGTCATATATTAAGAACTGAAAAAGTATATTTTTTCAATTATACTCTTATTTACCAAAAAATTACATGAGAGATAATGAGTGAAAATTTATTACTAAGAAATAATAAGTGGCATATACTTACCGGAAGTAAAAGTGAAAAGATTAGTTTAAAATTTGAGACAGATTTATATATATATATATATATATATATATATATTTAGACACATCACCATAAAAGGCTAGTATGAAATGTTTGATGTGTCAACAACCAGCTTTATTTCATCAGGAGATTGACCGTATGAATTATACAGTGGCATGCTATAAAATGGTTGATTTATATATATAGAGGGCTTGATTCATTCAGAATAATTTACCATTAGATCGAGCTAAACTTGCTTTGAAGCTTTAAACTTTGAAATACTCTTGATAGTAAAGTCTTAATATGCAAGTAAGTGCAGCTAGTTTGATTCCTTTAATATTAAAACGGGTCAAATTTTGCTGTTTCTTCTTATTGATTATTATGCTTCTTTAAAATACGATTGATGATATTTGGGAATTGGAATGATTCATTCACGTTGATTAGGTGGTTTAATTGAAGCATTTTTACATATCCCCTTTATGTGGTTGTGTGCTGTTTTAATTTAGTTCTTTATCTAACCATATTCTTGAGAGGTAATGCTAGATCCCTGCTATATTATAATTCATGAAATATGCGTAAAATAGTTATTTACAGCAGGTAACAATAAAAACACTTGAATTGAATTTTTTAAATAATTATATATCAATATAATTTTAGAAATAATTTAAAAAAAAAACGTGCTTAAGTTAAATCTCAACATACAAGTACAACTAAAAGAGTTCTATATGTTCTTATTGTCAACAAGAACCTGAATATTTAATGCATATTGCGATATTAATTATCTGTTTTTCTCATCCAAAATGTGATATTTATTATTAAATAAATATGGCAGATATGGCGTAGGTTCAGTAGTCAAATGGGCAATTAGAATTATTTAAATGCTTCAATGGTAAATTATAAAATACTTGAACTAAAATTGTTTTATTGGAAAATCTTACACAAATGTTCTCTCTTAAAACTCAAAACCTGATTCTTTTCTCACTTAATTTTTTTTTGGTTTCGAAGAGGCAATCAGTGACATTTCATGCCATAATCACTCATGAAATTTGTCAAGATTATAAAAATATTGAAATATGTCAGGGCCTTGCGGCCCAGTTGATCAGGAAATAGAATGATCGGTGTTGGATTATAGGGAGAAAAAAAAATTGAAACCTTTATAATATCTTCACTTCTTAATATAAAAGTTAGTTTGACTTTTAACTTGATTCTAAATATAAGACTATAATTTACTTTTTCTCTCATATTTATTCTTTTTTAAAGTAATCCTTGTAGTACTTACATATGTTAAATGTTTAATCAAATAATACTTGATAGTAAGAATATTTTAGGTAAAACAATACCTATTTACTTCTTTGGTCCTTAATATAGAACCTAATTGTTGAGTTGATTTTGGTCCTAAATATAAGACCTATTTATCATATTTATCAATTTTTTCTAAATTATCTCTATAAATAACCCTTCAATCCTAATTAAGTAGAAGAGGGAAAAAAGATGTTAAGGAGGATGATTATGGTGTTTTAGGAAAAACATGACATGTTTCTTATAATTAACTAACTTACTTAACTTTCTTAATCTAATTAAATTAGTTAAATAGGTCTTATATTAAATATCAGAAGAGTGTTATAAATAATTAACTTAATTAATTTTTTTAATCTATTCAAATTATTCAACTAGTTATATCATAAAACACTTCTTAGCGTTATCAATAATAATGTGTGTAATGGGTGAGGCATGAGAGGGACCCTGATTTAATTCATCCTGTAGAAAGTCCATAAACCACTACCTTGGTCCTAGACTAATTTAAGGTGTGTTTGGATTAGCAGTAGAGAAGTAGCTTTTTTTTTCAATATGATTTTTACATAAGTCAGATTGAGTAAAAGTTAGATAGAGTAATGTGATTTATGTTTGAATTGGGTTTTAGAAAAAAGTCAGTTTAAGAAGCTGAAACTTGTTTGGATGATAAATGTAAAAGTAAGTTTGGATGTAAAATGACTTAAAAGGACATGAATTTTATTAAATAGCACATATCTAATATTAGATATATATATATATATATATATATAAAATGTGACTATTTTTTAAGAAGTAAGGAAAATAAAATTATTAAAAGTAAAGAAATTTAATTTATTATTAGAAAGAAATTATATATAATGTGACTATTTTATAATAAAGTAATGAAAATAAAATTATTAAAAATAAGGGATTAATTTATTGTTAAAAGAAATTATATATATAAGTGACCATTTTAAAAGAAGTACTGAAAATAAAATTATTGAAAATAAAAAAAAAAGTTATTATTAGAAGGAAATTGAAAAATAATAAAATACTTAATTAATATATGTAATGGAGAAAAAGCATGCAGGAGGGTCAGTTAGGTAAAAAAAAATAACACCCTAATAAAATACTCCAATATTTTCTCAACGCAGCTGCGCATCCAAATAAAAGCATCCAAAATAAGCTTCTCCCAAAAGCCCATTGGGCCTCACAAGTCAGATAACCCATCGCAGATCCAAACATGTAAAACTACAGTCACATTAAAAGCCAGATTGGGACGCACGTTTGGGGGCCCAAACGTGATCCCAAACGGACCCTAAATAGATTAATAAAATAAGTTAAGTCAATTATTATAATAAATAGTTATTTTTTTAAAAATATCTTTACTAATCAAATTATTGGTTAGAATTATTATTATTATAAAGATTATCAAAAAAATATAAAAATATAAAAGATAATATAGATTAGATTTTATATTTAAAAAAAAATCGCATTTTTCGGTTGTTGCATTTGGCCGTTTCTCGTTAACGTTGAACGTCACTGTTGACGCCAATCGAACTTCCGTTTGGGGTCCTTCCTCCTCACTCATCTAGAGGCAGGCTGCAGGCCCCTGAAAGTTCCGTTCATCGCCATTAAATGCCTCCAATTCCCTCGTAAGAGAGGAAGCATCGAGCTATCATCTTCACTGTGTGTTGTGATTACTGGAGTCAGAAGAACAATCAAGAAATGTCAGGCCCAGAGTGTTGCTCAAACCCTCCAACCCTCAACCCAGCTGCTGGAGCTGGCCATGTTCAGAAAGTTGGTGGCATAGATACTTATGTCACTGGCACCGCCGACTCCAAGCTTGCCGTTCTTCTGATTGCTGATGTTTTTGGTAATTTATTCATTTTTATCACTTCTTTCACTTCCATGAAGCATCTTTGTTTTCTGATATGCCTATAAATGATACTCTGTCAAGTTCCCATTCCTGGGTTACAGAAGGTATTTGTTCAAAAGATCTAATAAATTCCAGTTATCATGTTTCAGTTTTGATTAACCTCTGCCATTTATTTCTGTGACATGGGGTTTTACTTCTGGAAGTCTATTCTGAATCTTATTATTGCATGATAAAGCATTGTTTAGAGGCCCCCGTTTTGGATGAATGGGGCAGAAGTTTTAGAATTTGTCTATTTTTTGTTCCACATGCCTTTTGGGCCGCATGTGTATTTGTTTTTTGCTTTTCTCTGTCCAAATACATGTGCATGATAGATTTTGGTTAGAAGGTGTATTTTCACTTGAATAACTATTTTGGTTCAATTTAAGATTTTTGCATGCACACGATATGGCTTTTTATCGTGCTAAAGAATACTAAAAGTATCTTTTAGAGGCTGGGGTCTTTACTTCGACTTGATGATAGCATGTATCAGCTCTGGACGTAAATCAATATAATTTCTAACTTCGCACGTTCAACTTGTCCTGCAGGTTATGAAGCACCAAATTTGAGGTACGACTAACTTATCTGTCTACTTTTCTTGTTTCTTATTTTAGCCGGTATACTTGTTTTCGTAGTAAATTACTTAGGTGTCCTGTTCGCATCAAACTGTATTATAGCTGGACACCATGATCTGTTAGATTTGGTACCTGAAAATTCTTTGAATGTGATTCTATTGTAAGTAAAGGGATGAAAATAGTCAATAGTCTTTACTCTCTTAAGTTATTGTTTGGGTGTCACTTTGGAAGGGATTTCTATTGTAATTGAGGAAATGAAAATAGTCAATAGTCTTTTAAGTTATTCATTTTTTCCTTTTATCTACATCTTCGGTGATTGACATCCACTGCTAATAATATATGGATTTCTATCTATTAAAATTCAAATCCATGTTTTCTTGGATCCAATTGCTCATTTCTATTATGCATTCGTGAATTCGTGAGGTTTAGTATGGAAGATAATCTGCATGGTGTGGTAGTTGAGCCA